CTAATCTACATGCCTCTGTCGAAGGAGGCATGTAGTCTAGACACACCCTTGGTGTAAAAGCCTGAGTCAGGTGGCGCTCTCCTTCATCCCTCCCACACTCCTTCGCCAATCCATGCAGACTCCTTTCCTCAGTTTCCCTCCAGGTTGCTTTTCTCTGGGAGCCATTCTGCACCCTAGCCCTGGGACTTGTGGCCCCTAGAGAGGACAGCATAACAAGAACCTCCCTGGCATGCTGCTTTCCATCCCTAAATCTCAGTGCATGCCACCCAGAAAGGGTCTCATAACCCCCTTTGACAGGTGGGGAAACTGAGGCAGACAGCAGTGAAGTGACTTGGGTAGTCAATGGCAGAGCCGGGCATAGAGCCCAGATTTCCTCAGCCCAGGGCCTTGTCTGCTAGACCCTGCAGCCAGATGGTTGCGGTCTGTGCTGGGGAGAGGCCAGGCTGGAGTGCGGGCGCTCTGCTTAGCCCATGCTGGCGGGGGCATCTGTGGGAGGGAGAGAGGTTGCTCGCCCAGCCAGGGAAGCTGCCACTTTCCCTGGCCATGGTGCTCCTTGTTTTCCCTGCAGGCACCTGCTGAATGTGACATGGGAGCACAGGGACTTCTCCTTCAATGAAGGCGGCTACTTGGTGAGGCCCACCATGGTGGTGATCTCGCTGAACCGGCATCGGCTCTGGGAGATGGTAAGGGCTGCTTTCCCCTCCCGCACCCACCGTGTCCCCCTCCCCACTCAGGGCACCTCCCCTGCGAAGCCCAGCAGCCACCAACACCAGACAGGGCAGGGGAGAGAAGAGGCTGCCCAGGGATAACGCCCTACTAAAGAGGCATGTAGGAACCACCACGCTCTGTTGCTGCGCCCCTCCCCCACCCCCGCTCTCTAGGACTGCCAAGCCCCCTCTTGTCCCGCTCTGAGCCAGACTCCTCTCCCTCCCTGGATGTCTTTGGGGAGCACTGGGATTGTCCAGAGTTCTCTGCTCCTGTCTCTGGATCCCTCTTTTCTCCCTTCAACCTTCATTCCTAGCCTTGGTTTTTCTTTGATCCTCTGGATTTAGTTCATGCCTGGGTCCTTTGGCTCCTCCCCTTATGGGGCGGGGATTTTAGCAATGGGGGGCTCACACCTGCCCAACTCCAGGTTCTCAGTAGGTCCAGCCTCTGTACCTGATGGGCTCTCCCTTGAGGTTCCAGATCTGTTTGCGTTTCTGCCCTTAAGACCTGTGACGAGCTCCCCTCCATTTGCAACCTGTCCAAACCCCTTCTTTAGGCACCTATATGCCCTTTCTGCCCCCATTCCCATGAACACCCATATGCCCTTCTTAGGACCAATGTTCCCTCTAATTTTTTCCATCTATGTGTGGAATAAATTTTGCTATGTGCACCAAAGCATGTGCAGATGCGCACTGCCAGTAGACCCACATGCTGCCAACTGTGAGCGCTCTGCTAATCAGCAAGGTGGCATCTAAATCTCTCCTGAGCAGCTGCCAAAATACTCAGCTTATGGGGAGCACTGCTTAGGACCTGCCTCCATATGCTCTGGTGACTGCCACAAACTAGCCGCCAAGCCCCCTTGCTGCCCAGCTCCTCCTCTTGGAGGCTTCCATGTGCTTTTACTTCTCCCGCAGACTCTCAGTGGGCTCCTACACCCTTGTGGCCCCCTTTGGAGACTTCCCATATTGCTGTTAGATACCCCCGATTGTCTCTCCATTGCGCCCCGGGTGCGCCTCTTTACAGACTCCATCATACTCCCTGTAACTACTCCCCGTTACGTTCCTGCAGCCTGAGATGCCCATTCTCTGGTTGCGTCCTCTGATGGCTTCCCCCATAGGTCTCCCAGACCCACCCCCAGTCCCTGTGCTGCTCTTTGTAGTCGTATTTTACACCCGCCAGGGTACGGGGGAGATTCTCGCTCTGAACTTCAGTGTTTAAAATCAGGCTCCCATTTGACGTGATTAGTATTGAGAGTTGTGTTCCCAGCATTCAGGGGTTGGGCGCGCTGGAATGTGTTTGCGCCTGGCTCTGATATTCTTTTAGACAGGCTGCTTTCTTCTGTGAGCGTGAAAAGCACCAAGGTAGGAAGCAGCCCTCGGGCAAAGCAGGCACCAAGGTGTCACGGTGAGCTCCAGGGGAATGACCTAGGATTAGAGCTGGAAATGGAACGTCTTAGGAAGACTGAGACGCTGCAGTAAGTGGGGTTAGTGATGGAGGAGGAGATGTTTTCCCTCTGGGTCATTGCCCCAGCATGCTGTTGGGGAACACGCAGTCTTAGGCATCAGCTGCATAACAAAGGACCATTAGTGATCACTCAAGAGCCCACAGATTTTTATTGCAAGAGCCAGGGAATTAACGTTGAGCTGCTGAGCGAATGTCGCTAATTGCATCCAGCCTGCAGGATAATGGGATGTGGTGGTGCCCGCCCTTCCTGTTAGGTAGTGTTGCTGTGGTTGTGTCCCACCCCAGAGGTGGTGACTGATGCAACTGACTGGTTGGTAACGCACCTTTGGATGGAAAGTTTGATAGGTGCAGTGCTGGTCCTAGTGAGAGCACAGGAAAGACTGCAGTGTGCCCCCTTAGCAAGGCCAGCAAATTCCAACCCAGGAATCCAGGGCTGACCCTCGAGGCTCCTGGGCACAGTGTGAACTCGGCGCGTGCAGTCAGCTGTTGTCTAGGCTAGCAGGCCAACTTGAATGCCAGGTGAGCTGTTGAGGAACAGTGACCTGTGAGTTACTCAGAAGCGTTGCGACATCCACCTCTTTGGTAGAGCCGGGCCAATGCTGCAGCTAAACGAAACCAGAAATAGGCCTGTCACCGTGTGATCACGTTTTTAGGCAACTTCCCTTTTGCCCGCACTGCATTCGGTGGCTGTGCGTGGCCAAGTGACCTGAGGGGTCGCCAGGCTGGCAGTCCACCAGCACAGAGAGTTTTAAGTGAATATTGCAGAACTCTTGTGGAAAGGACGGTTGGAATCGGGACTTGAGTGTGTGTAGCAGCAGAGAGATTCTGTGACGGCGCGTTGGAGTTTCCCCCATCTCCTGCACCCCGAAATGGCACAAACAGACTGCACCAGCCATGGAATAGCGGAAGTTTATTGCCTCTCCAGGATACAGCACAGCACAGATGTAATCTGGTCACAGAGCTGGGCTAGGATGCCTCAGGCCCCCTTGAGATGGGGGAGACTGGGCCCCTAAACTCCAGCCCCTTTCCCTAGGCTCTCCTCCATGCTTCCAGCCCTGCCCCCCAGCCAGGGCAGCATTCCCCCTTCCTTTGTTCCTCTCCATGGGGGGTGTCTGGCCACTGGTTTGCATAGTGACTGATCCTGTTTTGCTGGGTCGTGGTACCCACGGCAGCCCGTGGGGGGTACCCCAGAGCCAGCAGCATAGAAACCAGCCAGGTACCCCCACTACGTCACAGATTCTAAAAGCAATTCTCATCCAGTCGGGATGGAGAGAAACATACCATGTGACCGGTAGGCCCAGTCAGAGCAGCTTGACTCTCAACGAGCGCAAATGGCTGGTGAGGAACCAGTAATGGGTCGGGGGATGAGCTGGCAAGTCGCTCGGCAGAGTGGATCCGTCCGAGAGGTCTGGATCTGCTCGCAGGCAGAGGGAGAGGCAAAAGGGGGGATGTTTGTTAGGTGCTGTTCACTCATCAGAGCTCTACCATCCAGGCAGGGGCAGGCAGCCCTGATATCCAGACCTAGCAGTCACTGTCCTGACCTGCTGTCTCCTCTTCTAGTGGAACAGCAATGCCACAAAGATGGTGATCGTGGGAACCAAAGGGCCTGCACTGAGCTCCCTCCCTGGGAATAACCTCACCTGCCCCATTGCCAGGCCGCCGCGGGCATCTCCCCTGGTTGTGTGGGCAGTGACACTGTTCTCCGATCTCGGGCAGGTGGGGAAATGGGAGAAAGGGATCATCCACATGAAGTACCCAGTGTGGCCCCGCTACGGCTCCTTCCTGCAGCCCGTGTCAGACAATCGCCACCTCACCGTGGCCACCCTCGAAGAGAGGCCCTTTGTGATCGTGGAGAACACTGACCCGGCCACTGGCGTCTGTGTGCGTAACACCGTCCCCTGCCGGAAGCAAACCAACACCACCGACAGGTAAGCGGGCAGGCAGCTGGATGTCCCGCCGCACCATCCCTTCCGCTCCTTCCAGTGTGCTGGAGCAGGGTTAGACAGGGACGTGCTCTGCTTCTCGTGAAGCCGGGAGAAGGGAGCATCCAAACCCTGCCCAAGCATAAAGCAGAATGGGGCAAACTGTGGCCTCTGTATAAAACAGGGATGTAAGCGACTAGTCGACTATCTGATGAGCAACAATTTATGGGATTGTCGACTAGATCCTTGACAAGACGCATCCTCCTGCTTGCTGCCTCTATAGAGGCAGGAAGGCAGGGAGGAGCAGAAGCTGGTGCTGGGGAGAGCCGACTTAAAAGCCAGTTCCCTCCAGCACCGTCGCTGGGGGAGCAGGAGAGGCAGGGGGGTAGCGGGGATCGGGCACAAGCTGGGAATCAGCTGATTCCCAACTCACATCCAGTCCCAGACACTGCGCCTCTGCTTTTTAAATGTATCAAGAGCCTATCGGCTCTTAATGCATTTAAAAATCAGAAGCGCAGCAGGGGGACGCAGTGCAAGCCAGGACAGCTGATTCCCAGCTCGTGTCCGGTCCCCTTGCCGCGCACCAGCCTTTTTACATTTAAGGGCTCTCCGCTTCTCAACAAATTGACTAGTTGATGGAAAATCCATTGACTAGTCAATTCATTGATTAAACTAAATTTAACATGCCTAGTATAAAGCGGTGCTTTCTGAGTGTTTGCGCGTAGGAGTGTGGCTGGTGAGGGTTTACTGTGGTGCCAGGCTCCGGTACAGGAATTTTAGGCAGGATTTCTCACCCTGGCTGTACGAGCTCTGACTTCAGGCTGGATGCTTGCAGCTGGGAGACGCTGCGTAGAACTGGGCTGCAGCCCAGTCCTGATTGTCAGAGCTGGGAGCGCTGGCTCAGGCGAGACTTTCGTTCCGATACAGTGAGACGTCCCTGGAGCAGACTCTTGGGCTGCAGTTCAGTATCTATAAATGCAGTGTTTTCCCACCAGGCTGGCAGCTGCCCTGGCCCATCAGCTAGTTCCAGGGCTGCCTGTGTGAAGAGCCAGCCTGTAGATCCCAGCGCTGCGGCCGAGACTCCCCCGAGACTGAAAACATGGCCACGGAGATTGGCTTGGAAAGTGGCCCTGCAGGGCCGGCCTGGGCTCGCTTATTAATTGCTTGCCTATGGCTGACCTCTGCGACTCTGATCAAGGTTGTGTCAGCCAGCCTGCTGGATCATCTCTCTCGCTTCCCCGGCTGGAGCAGCCCCTCCTCTTGCCCTGCCTTTCCACAGTTCCCTCCTGCCACTTTTCCCTGCCCAAGTGTGGAAGGCCGTGCCCTTCTCCCACCGGGAATCAGGAGGGCTATTCTGCAGGTTTGCTTCTGAACAAAGGGAATTGCAGATGTTACCCAACAGCTGTGGTTGCTCCCATGCGGAGAGACGGGTGCTCTGTTCCCAGCTATTCTGCAGCTATCTCCTTAGCCCTCCTGGGTTGTTAGGGTCTGTCTACACTGCACACTTATTTCAAAATAAGCTATTCCAGAAGAAATAATCTGAAATAGCTTATTTCGAAATAGCACGTCTACACGAAGGGAAGTCTCAAAATTAGTCGGAGGCAGGCTTCCCTAATGTGGATGTGCTACCTCGATTTAGAGCCCCAGGAGGCACTGGGGAGGCATTACTGTGAATGGCTCTAGGGAGGAGCTATTTTGAAATAGCAGCAGTGGAGCGTCCACGCTAACGCTACAGGAAGTCCCCAGGTTATGTACAAGATAGGGACTGTAAGTTTGTTCTTAAGTTGAATTTGTATGGAAGTCGGAACTGGTACATATTGTAGGGGAAACTCTAGCCAAACATTTCTCCAGAGCTCAGTTTTATTCTCCCACACCTCACTTCCCTCAGTGCTTTATTCTCAAGCTGAGGTGTCTGCTGAGAAAAGCCGCTCCGTGTCTCCCTGGGCTGCTGGGGGGGGAGGGGCGCAGCTAGTGCGGGGTTGCCTCACCCCGTTTGTAAGTAGGGATCCGATGTAAGTCGGATCCATGTAACCCAGAGACTGCCTGTATTCTGAAATAGCTGATTTGGGATGGGTGTTATTCCTCATGGAATGAGGTTTACAGATTTTGAAATAAGCCACCCGTTATCTCAAAATTATTTTGAAATAAATAAATCATTTCAAAATAACTGTGCTTTGTAAATGCTTATTTTTCCAGCTGGTTGGCAAGACCATCTCTTTCCTTATAATGTGGACTTGCTCTGGGGTCCTGATTCCTCACTGCCTGACTGCTTTGCTCCCAACTTTGCAGTGCCCTGCCTCTTGGGCAGCCACGTACGCTGGTGTAAAGTTGAATCCAGAGTGAGTGTAAAATTCTGCCAACTCAGGTCAGACCAGCAGCATATTGCATTTACTTTGCATCAGTGATAACGTCTACGTGAGGGGCAGGGCAGCGGAGAATCAAGCTGCTTACGTTGGCATTTTGCTCTTGTGAAAAGTGCATCCCTCACACCATGACTGGTGGCAGGGATGGGGAGAAATCTGGCATAGTAGGATTTTACACATGCTTGCAGGGCTGTGAATGACTATCCAACGTGCAGTCCTGGGAGAACCAAGCTCAGTGTCTCTAGTGCAGCTTTCTGAGCTCTCTGTAGGCTAGTCGGGTCCTGCCTTCACACAGAGCGGTATATCAGCACCACAACACCAAGTGGCATAGGTGGTGGAATGACTTTGGAGCTCCTCTGAAGGAAGTGACCTGTGTGGGTGTCGTGTTTTAATCTCTTGGTTTCAGTGGGGAAGGAGCGGTGGACCCCTACACCAAACTCTGCTGCAAGGGGTTCTGCATCGATATCCTGAAGAAGTTGGCCAAGGCAGTGAAATTCTCCTATGACCTCTACCTGGTAACCAATGGAAAACACGGGAAGATCGTGCGTGGCATCTGGAATGGCATGATTGGAGAGGTAGGGAGACAGGTGTGACCCATTCCCACAAAGCACCTTTTCTTAAGGAAAGGAAAGATCATGTATTTGATACAGTCTCACGTGATCTTCTTATCAATAAACTAGGCAAATACAACTTAGATGGGGCTGCTATAAGGTGGGTGCATAACTGGCTGGATAACCATTCTCAGAGAGTAGTTTTTAACGGTTCACAATCCTGCTGGAAGGGCATAACAAGTGGGGTTCCACAGGGGTCTCTTTTGGGACTAGTTCTGTTCAATATTTTCATCAACGATTTAGATATTGGCATAGAGAGTACGCTTATTAAGTTTTCAGATGATACAAAGTTGGGAGGAGTTGCAATTGGTTTGGAGGACAGAGTCATAATTCAAAATGACCTGGGCAAACTGGAGAAATGGTCTGAGGTAAATAGGATGAAGTTTAATAAGGACAAACACAAAGTATTCCACTTAGGAAGGAACAATCAGTTTCACACATATAGAATGGGAAGCGATTGTCTAGGAAGGGGTACGGCAGAAAGGGATCCTAGGGATCATAGTGGACCACAAGTTAAATATGAGTCAACGGTGTGATGCTATTGCAAAAAAAGCAAACATGATTCTGGGATGTATTAACAGGAATGTTGTGAGCAAGACATGAGAAGTCATTCTTCCGCTGTGCTCTGCGCTGATTAGGCCTCAGTTGGAGTATTGTGTCCAGTTCTGGGCACCACATTTCAAGAAAGATGTGGAGAAATTGGAGAAGGTTCAAAGAAGAGCAACAAGAATGATTAAAGGTCTAGAGAACATGACCTATGAAGGAAGAGTGTAAGAATTGGGCTTGTTTAGTTTGGAAAAGAGAAGATTGAGACGGGACATGATAGGCATTTTCAGGTATCTAAAAGGGTGTCACAAGGAGGAGGGAGAAAAATTGTTCTCCTTGGCCTCTGAGGATAGGACAAGAAGCAATGGGTATAAACTGCAGCAAGAGAGGTTTAGGTTGGATATTAGGAAAAACTTCCTGTCAGGGATGGTTAAACACTGGAATAAGTTTCCTAGGGGGTTTGTGGAATCTCCATCTCTCTGGGTCCCTTCCAGTTCTCGTGTTCTATGAGTCTATGCCTGATGTCTGCTAACCACAATGTGTGAAAGCCTGGACCTGACCTAGGGTTCTCCCGTTTGAGTTAAGTCTGAATTTCAGTGTTTGGAGTCAGTTTCTGATCCTTGGCCATGCTTTGCATGGGCAAAATGTGATGCTGGAGCTGTAATTGTAAGGAAAGCTGGGAGTACTGCCTGCACTAAAAGCTGCCGAACATTTTGCATTGTACGACCCTGTTTTCAGGTGTTTATAATGTAACCCACACAGTTAAAGCTTGGCAGAAATTCTGGTGTCCGCCTTATGCTGAATTTTGGGGAAATTTCAATGTTCCAGAGATTAGGGAAAAACACATTGTTGTGTCCCAGTTTGAAAATGTTTCCAATCCTTGAAGCACTAGTGCCTGCATGATTTGGAGCAAGATATTTGTCCTAGCATCAAACATGGGCCTTGTGCTGTTCCTGTAAAAGTATACTCAAATCTTCAGGGAGATTTGTACTCCACTTCAGGGAGAAGTATATTCCACTTCAGGGAGTGTGGCCTTGGAGAAGTGTCAGGGCAGGGGGTGGGGAAAGGGTGTTCAGTTTGCTGGGATTAGAAAGTTGGCAGTTGGATGGTTGGTGGTCCACAGGCAATGTTGGCGAGGAGGTAGCCTGAAGGGAATGCAAACGGAGTGGGGACAATGGAGGAGTAAGATCAGAGAAGGGTTAGGAGTCAGGGTGATATGGGAATGGGGGGCAGGAGTCAATGTGAGGGGATGAATATGAGAGCAGGTAATGTTGGGCTGCATAGGAGGAGAGGAAGACGGGCTGTGTAGAGATTGAGGCGGTTGTCTGTAGAACCCCTGCTGTTTTTGTGGCGGACGTTAGAAGGTGTGCAGTGAATGAGGCAGGGAGCTGAAGGAAGAGAGGCAGGTCTTGCAGTTAAAGCTGTTGAATATGGAGACCTAGACTCTGGCCCTGCCTCCAAGCCACTGACACCAACACGTTCACGATTTTCTGGATGCCCAGCAGGTCATCTGGAATCAGATTTGCAGAAGGGCCAAGCAATCGCAACTACAGCAGAAATAGCATGGTGAATATACAAATTGAGTACTCTGAAAAATCAGGCCCTAGATATCTCAAGTAGGGCACCCAAAATCAGTGGGTGCTGGTGACAATTTTGATCTTAATGTTACTGTGCCTCAGTTCCCTGTTTGAAACATGGGGATTCCACCACTCAGTTGCCTGGAGATGATGAAGATACATTTATTAATGTTTGTGCAGCACTCAGGTACTATGGTGAGAGCACCCTAGTAATGCTGAGGAGAACATTCAATACTTTTGTATTCAGTGTGGAGTTGAAGTAGTGTGCAGTAAACAGGGGCTGGGGCTGCACATTGAATGAGGTTAAAAAGAAATATTGAGTAACTATCTTTTCACCGACTGAGGCAGGGGTTCTGTAGAAAATAGGATATGATCATGTCACCAAGCACAGTATCATAACACATATGCACAAGGGGGTTGAATTATGGTTTCACAGGCAACATTGGCATTTCCTAACTTTTAAGTGCTTGATTTTTCAACCTTAACTTTTGTTAGTGTCTGTGTGTGTTCTATTTACGTTCATTGGGCCAGATTCCCTGGTATGCTCTAGCTGTTTTGCATTGATCCAGCAAAGCCAAGTAGTTGTAAACCTGGCTAACACCGATTATAGCTGATGTGTCTCCGAAGCAATGAGGCAGGGAAAATCATGAACATACTGTGGTAACCAACCTTGAACATTTTGGTGTCCACAGCTTGCTCAGCATCAGAGAGACCGGGACAGAGTCTAGGTCTCCAGCCCATTTCAATTGCTGGTGCATATGGTCTATCTTCTTTCTGGTGCAGTGAGAAAGCAGGAGGAGCTCTGAGGTGGTGATCAGTATACTGAAGCTGACTAATTGTATAGCTTTGTAGGCATGAGTCACTGATGTGTTCTCGTTAATTTCCAGATCAGTATTGTTTTCATGTATTTTTGTCGGTTTTATTGGACACTTTTGTATTAGTAGGAAATAAGCTCCCTTTCCGAGCCGGTTGGGAAAACGATTGTCTAAACAGTTTTGTTGGAAAATGCTGTTTCTGCACAACAGAAATTCTTTTGCAAAATCATGCCAACTTTGACAAAATGTTGTTTAGGAACATTTCTAAACGTTATGTCAAAGCTAAAATTGCATTTCAAAATGTGTTTCGTTTGCTTGGTTTTCCATTTAAAAAATTATTTTGTCCCTATGTCAGGACATGTTATATTATGCACTACGACACCTGGCCTGTCTTGACATAAGGTCAAAATAATAAAAATAAGGGAAAAGTAAGGGAAAAGTACAAACAAAATAAATGTTGTAAATGTAATGATGGGGTCTAAATTAACCGTTACCACTCAAAGATCTGAAGTGATTGTAGATAGTTCTATGAAAACATCTGTTCAATGTGGGGAAAGAAAAGCTCACAGAACATTAGGAAAGGGATTGAAAATAAGATAGAAATATCATAATGCCAGTATATAAATCCAGGGTACACCCACACCTTGAATACTGTGTGCCGTTTTTGTTGCAGCACCTCAATAAAAATATATTAGAAATGGAAAAAGGAAAGAGAAGGGCAACAAAAATTACTAAGGGTATGGAACAGCTTCCATCTGGTGAGAGATTAAAAAGACTGGGACTGTTCATCTTAGAAAAGAGACAGCTAAGGTGGAATATGATAGAGGGCTGTAACATCATGGCTACGTCTACACTGGCCCCTTTTCCGAAAGGGGCATGCTAATTTTACAGGTCGTAATAGGGAAATCCGCGGGGGATTTAAATATCCCCCGCGGCATTTAAATAAAAATGTCCGCCGCTTTTTTCTGGCTTTTAGAAAAGCCGGAAAAGAGCGTCTACACTGGCCCCGATCCTCCGGAAAAAAGCCCTTTTCCGGAGGATCTCTTATTCCTACTTTGAAGGAATCTCTTTGAAGTAGGAATAAGAGATCCTCCGGAAAAGGGCTTTTTTCCGGAGGATCGGGGCCAGTGTAGACGCTCTTTTCCGGCTTTTCTAAAAGCCGGAAAAAAGCGGCGGACATTTTTATTTAAATGCCGCGGGGGATATTTAAATCCCCCGCGGATTTCCCTATTACGACCTGTAAAATTAGCATGCCCCTTTCGGAAAAGGGGCCAGTGTAGACGTAGCCCATGACTGGTGTGGAAAAAGTGAATAAGGAAGTGTTGTCACCCCTTCACATAATACAGGAAAAGGAAGCACATCTGCAAACAACACACGGACAACCTGTGGAACTCATTGCCAGGGGATTATGTGAATAGCAAAAATATAATTGGATTCAAAAAAAGGATTAGATAATTTAAGGGAGAATTGATCCATCAGTGGCTATTAGCCCAGATTGGAGACCCATGCTCTGGGTGTCCCTAAACCTCTGGATTTCAGAAGCTGGGACTGGACGTCAGGGGTTGGATCATCTGATAATTGCCCAGTTCTGTTTATCCCCTCTGAAACATCTGGCAGTGCCATTGTCGGCAGACAGGATACTGGGCTGGATGGACCACTGGTCTGACCCAGCAGGGCCATTCTTACGTTCTGAATTTTAGTTTCAAAGCAAAAATTCAGTTTTTCAAAAGGAAATTTTTCTACACGCCACTCCAGCCATGATTTAAAGGGCCTGGGGTTCTGACCGCTGTTGCAGCACCAGCTGGGATCCCTGGGCCCTTTTATATCACCGGGGCATCCTTTTATCCCCCCCCTCCCAGCGGCAGACCTGGTGGGGAGGGGCAAAGGCAGCTTGTGCAGGAGCCTTGCTGGCTTGCGGTTCCGCTGGCTGCTCTAACTCTTACGCCGCGCTTCTCCTTGGGGGCCTGGGCAGCAGAGGACAGCTGTTGTGCATCGCGTTCTCACCATGCCCCCAGTCTGCCCCCTCTGTCTAGGAATGGCAACACGGCTGGTTGAGGGGCGTTTATCCCAGTTCTACAACAGCCAAGGGGGCTCTAGGGAGGCTGTATCCACCTGCTCTGTGCTGCCAAAATGGAGTCAAAGGGCCATGGGGTCACTGAACATCAGGCCCTGAGCTTCTTAGGGGCAAATCAATTGGGAAGGGAAGTGTTTTTCTGGGCAGCCTGTCTCTGAAGGTGGGATGGGCAAAGAGCGAGCAGACATGGGGGCCAGTGTCTCTAGGGGAGGTGGGATTAGGCTGAGAATGGAGGTTAGCAATGCTGGGGCTGAGTCCCCTGAGAGTCACCGGCAGGGGGGTTCCAGAGTCACCTGGTTGCTCCTCTGTCATCTTCCAGGTGTACTACCAGCGAGCAGACATGGCCATCGGGTCCCTCACCATCAACGAAGAGCGCTCTGAGATCGTGGACTTCTCCGTGCCCTTCGTAGAGACCGGCATTAGCGTCATGGTGGCCAGGAGCAACGGGACCGTCTCGCCCTCTGCCTTCCTAGGTGAGCAGAGCCAGCCCGGTGCCAGGCTTGGCGTGCGGAGCTGCGGGTGAGCGTGGTGGGTTTGAAGAGGGTAGGAGCACAGGCAGACCCTGCTCTGAAGGCTTCTAGTCTGGGGTGAATTCTCAGTGTGTCTGGACTTCGTGAGGCCATGGGGAGCCTGGACTAGGCTCTGTGTAAATGTGGTGGTCATAGGCTGTTTGCTACCAAGGCATGTGCCTGTCATGTGGACTCAGCACTCAGAATCAAGGCTGAGCTAGAAAGGTGCTTGATTTCTCTGGGATGAAACTAACTGCTGATATCCGTCATGCTCGGGTATCTCCAATCTAGCCTGTCTCTTGCTATATAAGAGGATTGGGGGCATTCTGGATTTGTGGATTCTATTCCTGGCTATGCCACAGACTTGCTGTGTGATCCTGGATAATTAGTTACTCAAACTTGCTGCCTCAGTTTCCCCACTTGTAAAATGATTATAATAGAATCCACCCGAGACTGGGGAGGCTGACGAATAGTGCCCTGCAAATCTGCGGATCTCTGCTTTCTGTCCACATTCTCGGATGTCAAATTCAGATACTTGTGGCTCATTTTTGTATCTGGCTGCAGATACAAAGTTCATATCCGCGCAGGGCTCTGCAGAAGGAACACTTGGAGTTCCTCTGATGAAAAGTGCTATGCAAGTGCAAAGAACTCGCATTACTACTCGTGCACAGATATAGTTTCCCAGGCATTTTTTTGGTGGCTGAGCTCCTTGACAGCTGGCAGCTGAATTTAACATCCCATGATTTTGATGGGCGCTTATGCTGCATTTTCTATGCATGGTCAACAATGAAGGAGTTAACTTACCAGCTGCATTTCATTTTGTCCTAGCAAAGCAAAGAGTGTCTTCTGCATGCAAAGTGGCTGCTTGGCCACACATTGGTTTACAGCATCACTTTGACAGTGTGCTCATGCAGACTTAGATTCTGCATTTCCATCTTCTGCTGGCTTGTGCTCATTTCCTGTACTCCATGGGCCTTCTGCCCTGTGTCCCTCTTGGCTCCCCCTGGAGCCTAGGGATGTTAGCATGTGCCCGTTTACATGATTAACCGTTAAGCCTGGGCTCATCAGTTAATCCTAACAGTTACATGCACAACCTGCCTCCCCCCCTTGCTGCCTCTGTATCAGATACAGCAGCATGGGGGTGGGGAAGCAGGCAGGAGCCAGTACACATGGGAAACTGGCTTTCAAGCTGGCTTCCTGCGTGTACTGGTTCCGCAAAGCTGCCTGCCCACCATGTTGCCAACTCCTTCTGAACATCAGCTGCTGCCTGCCCTCCCCCCCATGTGTAAATGTGTAACTGTTGAAAAATTCACAAACATTTACAAACATAACTGTTTGTGAACATTCCTACTGGAGCCTAGGGGAGAATGTCTGGAGTTTAAAATTGTTATACCCTGTGCTACAGGGACTTGTAGATGGGACACTGAGCACAAGAACAGGAAACTTTGAAGTCCAATGAGCCAGTGATTTTAAAATGGAGCAGATTAGTTTAAGGGCTAAACAGCTATAGAGACTTTTACCACAAGTAAATGGGGGCAGGGATAGCTCAGTGGTTTGAGCAGTGGCAGGGTTGTGAGTTCAATCCTTGAGGAGGCCATTTAGGGATTTGGGGCAAAAATTTGCCAGGGATGGTACTTGGTCCTGCTGTGAAGGCAGCAGACTGGACTTGATGACCTTCTAGGTCCTTTCCAGTTCTAGGAGATAGGCACTCTCCATTTTAGTTTGACTCTGGCCTAGATCAGTGGCAGTCAAAGCTCCCTCACCCACAAATTGGCACTGATCAGCCTCCCAACTAGTGGTATAATTACAAGCCAAAGTCTGAACAGGCCCTGAAACTGAATTCCTCTCTTGCTCCAAGCAAGCAGCTGAGGTTGTATGCAATAATTATTGTATTAAATTGAATCAGGGGCTTGTTAGATGGAGGCCAGGCTGAGCATGTTCTTGGGCAGGTTCATTCCACAAATCCAGTTCTTGTCTCTTGAGCACTTGAATTTAGTAATTACCATTAAAAAACCTAAGATGATTTTGAAGTGCTTTCCAGAAAAATAACCTGTAGGTTTAAATAAACGTGTGTGTTTAATGCTGTAAGTGTGTGTGTGTGTGAGAATTTGATTAGCAGTGCATGTTGCATGTTTGTGATTATGGGAGGATGAATGTGTTGCAGTGCGTGCTGTGTGAGTCTGTCCCTTTATGTGTGTGCATGTTTCACATGTGAATATCTAGCTAGGCAGCAGTACTGCAGAAAAGTGATCTCGGGGTTATAGTGGCTCCCAAAGGGAATGAGAGTCAACCGTGTGACGCAGCTAAAAAAAGACAAATGTCGTTCTGGGGTATATTGCAAGGAGTGTTGTACCAAAGACATGTGAGGTAATAGTTCTGTTCGGCCTTCGCTGGAGTACTGTGTCCGGTTTGGGCCCCATACTTTAGAATCCAATTTGTTCACGTTTGTTAGAGAAGGGCAACAAGAATGATAAAACTTGCAAAAAACACACCCTATTAGTAAAGGTTGCAAACATGCCCAATTCTTAGTCTAGAGAAGAGATGTCTGAAGGAGGACCTGACAATAGTTTTCAAATATGTTAAGTGATGTGACAAAGAGGACAGTGATCAGTTGTTCTCCAATTCCTCGGAGGGTAGGTTAAGACGTAATCAGCTTAGCTTGCAACAAGGGCGATTTAAATTGGATATTAGGAAGATTTTGCTAACAATAAGGAGAGTTAAACACAGGTACAAGTTACCTAAGGCTGTTGTGGAGTCCCCATCATTGGAGGTTTTTAACAATAGGTTAGACAAGCCCCTGCCAGGATGGGCTGGGTTTACTTAATCCTGCCTCAGCACAGGTGGTTTGACTAGATAACCTCTGGTGGCCCCTTTCAGCTTCGTGTTGTTCTGTCTGTGTGTGTGCGGTATGTGTATGTGGCAGGCAGGTGAGTGTGTTGCACATGTGTGTGAGTTTGGCTCTGTGTGTGTATAAAAACGTTTGTGAATGAGTGTGGGTGACTGTGTTGCTACATGTATGGTACTTCTGTGGTGGTGTATCAGTGTGCATGTCTTCGTGTGGCTGCATGTGTTTGCTCTGTGTGTGTGCATGCACCTGTTGTATGTGAGTACCCGCTGTTAGAAAAGTATGTGTGTGAGAGCAGATGGATGAATGGCTGCATGTGTAAATTGATCCATATAAATGTACATGTGTGTGTGTGCGTGTGTCAGCACGCATGTGTGGATGTATGTGTGTGTGTGTCCTAGGGGCAAGTCTAGGAAAGCACATTTGCCTGCTTAGATGTTGGTGCATAGGCCTGAGTTTGTCCTTGTGTTGTATGTTTGCACACATGTTGGCATGAATATGGATCTGCTTTGAATCCCTCTTTAAAATGTGCACTGTCAAGTCAGACACGCCGCTGCTAGAGGCGACGAGCGTCTCCTCTTCCCCAAAGCTTCCTATGTCCTGCGCTGTGGGATTGCAGGAGACATGTACGGGCTCCCCGGCACTGCACAGCTCCAGAGGGAGCCAATGTCCCCACCATCACCGGAGCAACAAGCCATCCTGGCTCTTTTTCTCGCCCCCTTCAGAAAAGGGTTGCCCTCCCCTAGTTCTCCCAACTCCAGCCAAGTAGCCCTCTCCCACTTCCTTTACCTGAGGAATCCATTGAACTCTCTGCAGACTCTAGATTTGGGCCGGCTCTTCCTACTGCCCACTCGTCTCACCAGAAAACGCCGAAGCCCCGGGGAAGCCGGGGTCAAAGGCGCCTTCCTCTCCTGCCAGCCCGGCTCCCTCCACATGCTAATGAAATGCATCCGATGCCATCAGATGAAGTTTCTCTCCTCCCTGACAGGGAAGGACACACTGACAAATGGGCCTTTGCTGCTGTATTTTGAGGGCCTGAATTAATCCCATCCTTCAGCCTGCCCTTTAACGACAGAGCTCTATCACTCTGGGTGTCTGCCGCTGTCACCCGGCAACTGCCACGGTCTCTTCCGCTTGGTCTCTTTCTGCCTTGAGTGCCTCTTTCTATTCGCACCTCTTCCCGCTGCCTTGATGTCTCTGTCCTCCCTGAGCTGCTCCTCTTCTTTTGTGCCTGCCTTGTTCTTTCTCCACCTTCCATCCCCTCCCTCTCTGTTCCTGTTCGCCTCGCCCTCTCTCTGTGTCCCCCTGTCTGGGCTCCCTACATCTACACTATGAGTTGTGTCTGCAAAAAATATGCTAATGGCACTCATTTGAATGAGTCGTGATCCCATTTACATATTTTCTGCCAATCGGTTTTTGCGCAAAAACAAGCAATGTGGATGCTTCCTATTTTGCGCAACCCCCCCTTTTTACTGCAAGATTGGTAAACCTCCTTCTTTGGGGCATAAGGATCTTGCAGAAAAAGGGGGTTTTGTGCAAATACTCATCAGCAGAAAATATGCAAATGAGATCACGACTCATGCAAATGAGTCCCTTATTAGCATATTTTTTGCCAAGAAAACTCGTAGTGTCGACATAGCCTTAAGTGAATAATGTAGCTGATGTGTGTTTGGCCTTTTTTTCTGTTGATGAATTTTTCCGCAAGGAGATGGCTGAGTGTTTTTCTGGAATTTACTCCTTGTCTGGAGTCATCCATTCTCAGTCTGCACTTGGGGCGTGAGCAATACCTTGCAAATACTGGCTCCCTGAGCTTTTGTGATTGGACATGCAGGTTACATGATATGCTCCTGTTCCCCAGCGGGATTGACGCTCCGGTTCTCAAGCTTCATTGCACTGCGACCCTCTTTGCCAACAGAAATGATTGCACGACCCCATGCCATGGGGGAGCCATGAAGCTAAACTGCTTGGATTTGGGCTTCAGACCCATGTGCAGCCCCTCCGATGGGTTGGGGAGGGGAGCAAAGGGAGCAGTTGCTCCACAGCCCAGCGATTCAAAAGGACCCTGGGCTCCAGTTGCCACCCCCTCCCCCAGACTCCTGAAATTGCCATTGGAGCGTGGGGTGGCACTGAGGGTTGGCTGCCCTCAGCCCTGCCCCTTCTGGGTGTGCAGTGCCATCCCCAGTCCTGCCTTGTCCAGGGGCCGGGCAAGTCTGTTGGGCTCCAGTTGCCACCCCCTCCCCCAGACTCCTGAAATTGCCATTGGCCCAGGCCCGAGTCCCCAAATGTGGGGCTGTCGGGAGGAAGCCTTCAGGGCTCTGGCATCAGCTTTTTGCGTGGGCCCCAGCAAGTCTAATGCTGGCCCCGGTGAGCCCATTAAAATGAACTCACAATCCACTTTGGGGTCCCAAGCCACAGCTGAGAATGGCTGGATTAAAGCAACTCTTAGGGTCGGATTTCTGGAGCGGACACTCGTGATTACAACTTTGAAATGCACTTTTCACTCATGTTCTGCGATCATCACTTAAGATGTGTTGTTTCCACAAATGTTCTTGCCTGAAGCTCATGCGCTGGTGGGGCACTGCACACAAGCAGGGTGTGAATGCTGTCTCTTGCATGTATGATGCTTTCAGACCGATCTTCAGACAGAGGTTTGCAGTGTTCGCCCAGTTCTAACCTCAGCCTTGGAAGAGTCTGTTTTGCTCAGATTCATTTCAGATTGTGAACTCCCTTTGCTCTATGTACAGCACCTAGCGCTCAGGGCCCTTGAGTAGGGCTTATTGGTCCTATAGTAATAGAAATAATAAGCAGTACTTAAGGCACCACTTGCAGGACGATTGTCAAAAATTGTGGCTGAGTTGCAGACAAGTCATGGAAAATTGCAGAAAAGGAGTAATGGATCTTTTTTATCATAAATACTTGGCCATGACTTTTTGCCATCAGCTGACCTGGGCTTCCATTGTCAAATTGCAATGGAAACCTAATATTGCGGGAAGTGAAATTTCACAAATGAAGCAGGACCTTAACGATACTCCTACTGATAAACATCCGCCTATTCACCTGGTGAATTTGAAAACTTTTTGACGGATGAGGAATGTCCCGTAGTTGTTCTACCACCACTATGTTGTGACCAGGGCAGGTGAGTAGATTTTGTGCCTGGGCTGGTAAAATGTTGATGGCTGTTTTACATGGCTAGTTTCTCTCTCGCCCAGTCTCTCAACCTGCTTGTATTGGGTCTGAATTTGGCTCTTTTTGTGAGTGAGTCACAAGATGCTTCCCTCTCTCTCCCACTCTGAGGTACTTAATGAATAGCAAGACAGGAGTATTTAGCGTGTGCTCGGTCTGTAGATGAGGACACCTGGTGGGCAGCTTTCAGTGTAATCCTGATGCCTTTTCGATCCAACGGCACTAATAGGATCACCACAAATGTATTATGCTGGGAGGGGTAGATTGGTCTCTCTAGGGTAACGTGATTGAGGGGGGTTTTCCCTGAGCCTCTCTATTTGGGGTGTACTATCTTACTTGGCGGGTGGAATCCAGTCGTCTACAGTGACACTTGCACTTGAACGGGCGCAGCGCAGTTGGAGTTGACTGCCTCTCTCTGGCCTTGCAGAGCCCTACAGCCCGGCGGTGTGGGTGATGATGTTCGTGATGTGTCTCACGGTGGTCGCCATCACGGTTTTCATGTTCGAGTATTTCAGCCCCGTCGGCTACAACCAGAATCTAACCAGCGGCAAAAGTAAGTTGCGTACAGGGACCATGAGCAAATATTGTGCCACGGGACGGTGCCCTTGGCCACACACACCCAGCCCCACATGCACTTAATGCAGGCAGCTATAGTCTGTGCGCCCCAGTATGCGGGGAGACACCGGAATAATTGTGTGGGAACGAGTCTGGCTTCTTACAGCCCCTCACATCTTGGGGAAGCGTTGGCTCATCCCAGGGTCATGTTTCCAGCTGTATCCATATGTTACAGGGAGCAGGAGGCAGCTGATTCCCAGCCTCTTTCAGCAGAGCTTCAAGCAGGGCACGTCTAGAGTTGCTTTCACTTTCGAAAGAAGATATGCAAATTTGACGCGAATTTGCATATCTTCTTCCACATGTCTAGACTTGCTTTCACTTTCGAAAGAAGATATGCAAATTCGGCATGAATTTGCATATCTTCTTCCAATGGCTTTTTCAAAAGAGGTTCATTCGAAAAAGAAAGTCTAGATGCGGTTCTTTCGAGAAAAAAACCCTTTTTCGAAAGAACCGTTCTTCTTAAAGTGAAGTTTACACGGTTCTTTCGAAAAAGGGGTTTTTTCCTCGAAAGAACCGCATCTAGACTACTTTCTTTTTCGAATGAACCTCTTTTGAAAAAGCCATTGGAAGAAGATATGCAAATTCATGCCGAATTTGCATATCTTCTTTCGAAAGTGAAAGCAAGTCTAGACATGTCCTCACAAAGCAGCCCCTGGCCTCCATCAACAGCGTCTCATCTGTTCCCCCGGCCACTGTTCTCAGGGGAGGGATGGAGCCACCCTTCTCTCAGCAGGGCCACTGAGAGTCTCTTTGCCAAGCACCAGATCCTGAAGTGGTGTCTCCGGAATCTTCCATTTCAGTGTCAACCCAGGAAACTGAAAAGCCATAAAGCTACTCCTCCCCTGCAACTGTGTGCAGGCTTCTGTGCCCTCCTGCCATTGCTTGGCCAGACGGGATGCCGGCGAGAGATTCCTCGGGCCATGTCAAGCTGACATATGGGATTTTGCCAGTGCCCATGGTGGACATAAATTCATGAATTCTAAGGCCAGAAGGGTCCATTGTGATCACGTAGTAAAGCCAGTTCCTTCCGGCCCTTTTGTGTCTGTCACCAGCAGGCCCAAATCAGTCAGCTACTCCGCTGTCTGCTCTAGCTAAGAGCTCCCACGTCTGAGCTAGCTGGGGAGAAGATTTTTCTCACATTTGTTTGGAGGAGCTGTCAGCCCCAGGCCAGGGTGCCATCTTTGCCCTTGACGAATGTTCATTAAAGGATATCCATCCTGACGGGTGCATAATGAAAATGCTTTTTCAAGCAGCATCAATGACTCCCCTGTGCACCAGCACTCCTGGCCTGTACCTCTCCCCGCTCTAGTTTCAGAGATCCTGGACAATTTCTCAACATCGACCTTGGAGGGTTCGCTGTTCAGACAGGGTTCGTACGCGGGGAGAAAAGGAGAGTCAGAAGGAAGCTGGTATCTACCAAGAGAGAATAGCCTAGAGCCCACAGTAAAAATACACAATCTATTTTTAGCTTTCATATTCCAAATGAACAAAGGCTCCGGCAGAACTCAGCCAGCTGGAACCCTGCTGCTCTATTCCTCTCACCAGAGCGTGCTGGTTGGTTCTGGAGACTCATTTTTCATTTTGTCTCCTCCTTTCCCCCTCGTTGTAATTTTTTGGCGTGGTGTCGGGAGGTGGCGTGGCAGCAAGATGCATTTCCATTCCACTCTCCTCCAGCAGAGAGAGGCAACCATCCAGTTATTTCCGGAGGTGAGGTCAGAAAAGCTGCTGCTTTGTAGGTCTCTGTGCTGAAGTCCAGTCTTGGCTCCTCACCAGACATGGGCCTGGCAGATTTCCTTCACTGCACAGAACCTGCCCAGCCATTGAGGCAGGGCCATGTGCAAAGTCTGGCAAGATTCCTCTTGTTCTTTCTCCCCAGGACTTTGGAACAAAACAAGCCCCAAAGAGTCGCTCAGGTTTCCATCAGACTCAGTGCCTGGATGCTACAAGGATCTTGGCACAGGCTCGTGCTGAGATGCCCAGTCTATGTTGGGAAATGCTCAGTGTTCAGACTGTCCCCTGGTGAGACAGATCCGGGTGCTTGTTGGGACGTGGCCCTGAGCTGTTTTAGTTCTAGGTGAACAGTCTGTTTTTGATTGGCTCCACTCAATAAAGCAAGTTGATCTTTGAATTAATAGGAAATCTCTGACCGTCATTTGTCGGTTCCTGAAACACAGACAGACTCCTTGCTCCGCATTAGGGGTAGGATGTGGGCCCAGAAAGGTGTCTGTCTATATAAACTGGACCCACACATCAATGCAGACCTTAAGGAAGAAACAAAAATAACTGTCCCCAACAGCAAACCCAGGCCCCTGTGTGCTGGCAAGTTACAGATGAAAAAAAGCCGCAGCATAACTGGAAATCCCACTAATCTAAAAGCCAGGAAGAATCGTCCCTAGTCATTTTCCAGGAGACACAAGCTGTGGCGCTAGCAGGGTGTTCAGGGTTAGTGAGATGTTGTGTTTATCCAAATGATTCATTCTGAGCTACCCAAAGCCTCTCTTCTTTTCTCCTCCCAGAGTCCGGGGGCCCCTCCTTCACCATTGGCAAATCCGTCTGGCTGCTCTGGGCCCTGGTCTTTAATAACTCGGTGCCCATTGAGAATCCAAAAGGCACCACCAGTAAGATCATGGTGCTGATCTGGGCCTTCTTTGCTGTGATTTTCCTGGCCAGTTATACCGCCAACCTGGCCGCCTTTATGATCCAGGAGCAATATATCGACACCGTCTCTGGGCTGAGTGACAAGAAGGTGAGGAGGCTTGCAGAAAATCACCCGTCTGGGAGGGGAAGCATGGGGAATAACCAGGGCTGGGTATGGACCACAAAGTGGGTTGGGGGCATGTTAACCAAGTAAGGACTGAAGAGCACAGACCTGCTTTGCCTTAGCATGGAAGCTTGTATGATGCCAGCAATACGGAGCCATGTGTCAAATCCATTAAGCGTGCTCCCTCTGAATGTGTGTGCCTCAGTCTGACGGCCGTGATGCCCCTCTGGGGCAGAGAGGAGCTGTGAGCCCAGGGCGTACAGCCTGGGCAGGACGCATGTGGCGGGGTAAGTGTGTGTTGAGAGAGTGAGGGGAGTGGATGAGGTTAGGGCGCTACCCCAAGGGTGTTAAGTTTGAAGATGAGGAGATTAATGGAGTCACAGTCTGGAGGGAGGCAAGAACTCCTTTGGCCTAAGACTGACCAGACTTGAAGGCTGAATGGTTGGCATGTGGGGCAGGAGGGGGAAGGAACAGAAAAGAGGCTGAGAGAAACCAAGATGGAGAGTGACCATGGGAGACTGGAACCATGGAGGGGAGAGAGGGAGCTGCGTTCTAACGCGTACGCTGACTGCGGGCTCTATTCTCCCCCCACAGCATCTGAGTGTTGCTCATGTGACCCAGTATCTCTTCTGTGTTCCCCGTCCTGCTCCCCACTAGGCCAGACTCTTGCCAACGGAGCACAGGTGGCCTCTGGCAAGGAACACCTTGTAATAAATACAATGGCTTTGGGGAAAAGGTACCAGGAGCGCGGGTTCCTGCGCTCGGTGGCCAGGGCTTCAGGAGGCCTGGGTTTGATTCCCAGCTCTGCCACAGACTTGTGCAATGTTGGCCAAATCCAACCAATTTTGACAAAGTGGGAAACTTTGTGTGGCAGGGTCATGCCATTTTCCAGCCAGCACTGGTGCTGCTACTGGTTGACAGTGACAGGACAGGAACAGAGAGAAGGGGTAGAAATGGGGGGGAAGCTGGGCTCCAGGGAAGAGTGAAAACAGAGCCCAGTTCTCTCAGGGGCTAAGTGGAACACCCAGGAGGCCTGGGGCTCAGCGCTGGACCAGGCAATTGATGTTCGTGGTGGTTGCCGTTCTAGTTCCAGAGGCCCCAGGAGCAGTATCCCCCGTTCCGCTTTGGCACTGTCCCCAACGGCAGCACGGAGAGGAACATTCGGAGCAACTATCCAGACATGCACACGCACATGGTGAAATACAACCAGCGCTCGGTAGAAGACGCCCTGACCAGCCTCAAAATGGGGTATGTCTCCTGTTGAGGGCAATGCTTCTGAAACAAGAGTGCACCTCCTCAAAAGGCCCGGGGTGGGGCAGGAAGGGACTGTCATCCTGCATTTGCATTGTCAGAAATATAGGCACTTGACTTGAGGGGGCTGCTCCCACCACTTAACACAAGCTTACAAGGCCACATCCTCTCAGGCTGTCGGGGGTGGGTCAGCGCCGCAGAAGTGAAAAAGGAGCTGTCCCAAGATTTCCTCTGTATTTTCTATAGCGAATCAAGGAATTGAAGAATTCCCCACCCCCTCTGTCAATAGCCTTTAGCTTTCAAAGGGACGAGAGGATAGGAAGCTAGGGAGTGAGAAACACAGAGCATCGGGTAAGAAATCCACCTGTTTTTGGGGTATCTCCCGTGTAAATAATTCCCTCTAGATGAAAGGGCAGACTGAGGCCCTGACAGCTTATGGTCCTTCCTGAGTGTATGCACTTCTCCTGAGCACAGGAGCATTAATATCTGTATCCTGCTGCTGCCAAATTTTAACTCAGGCTTGTCAACACTTGAGACACTACAGCTGGACCATAGGGTTGCCAGATGGTTTCAGAAAAAAATACCCCCCCCAAAAAAGGACCCTGAGAGTTAAGCCAAAAACAAAACAAAACAAAACAGCATGGCCCCTTTAAGAAACATGTGGTGAGGCTTTTTGGCCCTAACAGGCTGCCGGCGGCCACCCACCACCTTGCCTCCCTGCGCGGGGCCGGACAGCTCCGTGGAACCCAGTAAGCACTAGGATTGCCGGGCTGCCTCTGTATTGAGCTGGACAGCCCAGGATTTTCGCCTCCTGGCTGGGAAAAAATCAGAAAGTGCCGGACATTTTAGGTGTCTGGTATTTTCAGATTTTTTTTTTAGCGGACAGGAGATGAAAATACTGGACTGTCCGGTTCAATACCGGACACCTGGGAACCCTACTGGACCAGGTTAGCCCTTCAATATAGACCAGTGATGGGCAACTTGCAGCCCATCGGGGTTCTGTGTGTGGCTCACAGGACACTTTGCAGTGCACAGGGTTGCCAGATTGCATTGGCTTCCACCCACAGGTTTTTTTTTCTTCCGGTAATTACTAAAGGGAGACATGCGTAAAGCGAGGGCACGTGATGTGAGGTGCATGCTGAGTGCACCCCGCAGTGACTGTGAGACCTGTGCGCTCCCTCTGCATCCAGTCAAAGCGCTGCTGCAGTTCAATCGGCACAGCCCGCAGACCCTATCCTCCGAAATCGTCTTGGTTACGACACTCTTGCAGCCCATTGAGGTGGAGGGCCACGCATGTGGCCTACTCACTAGCCTAGGTTGCCGGTTGCTGGTGTAGACCCCACCCATGGCCAGGGGCGGGGCTCTCCCGTCTGCATAGGTAATCCAGCTCCCTGAGAGGCAGCAGCTAGGTCAATAGAAGAGTTCTTCCGCTGATCTAGCACTGTCCACACAGGGACTTTGGTCAGATGAACTGTGCTGCCATAGGTGTGGCTTTTTACACCCCGAGGGACACAACTCGTTTTCTAGTGTAGACCAGGCCCCTATTGGCTGGTGGACATGTCTACACTGCAGTCAGAGGTGTGACGGTGGCATATGCAGACACACCTGAGCTAGCTTTGAATAACAATAGCAGAGAAGTCATGGCAGAAGAGCTGTATATACCTGGGACTGGGGTGTGTAACTCTAGCCGCTAGCCCCTGCTGCCTGTTGCATTCTGATTGTTCTTCAAACTAGCTCGATCAAAGCTAGCACGGGTCTGTCGACACTTGCTACTGTCATATCTCTGATTGCAGCGTAGCGCTTCCCTGGATCCTCTCTTCAGTTTCAATGGAGGCTTCCTTTTCCTTCGCTTTGTGTCCTAAATTCTTGTGGCAATGTTGCTATGTCGTGTTAAACAGCTGCCATCTTTTACCCCAGCGGCGGCTGCCTTTCAGTGGTGTAGAGCTAGATCGCTGCCTTTCAAATGAATTGGCTGGTGGCAGCCTTCTCTCCTTTGGCGCGTTTGGAGCCCAGACTTGTGCCTGGGATTGTTGACTCTCTAGCTGATGAGCCTCGAGACCTTCAGTAGCTCCTCTTCCTTTAGAAAGGGAAGTGCCTAAGTTTCCTCCCTTGCTGCTGAATCCAAAGCCCTGGGGATACTTTGTTCTCTTCCCCCCACCTCGTATACCCTACCTTTTCCCTGCCCCAGCTGCTCCCTTCCTGTCTCCTCTGCTGCCGTCCTTGCCCTGAAATCTCTGCTTGGTTCCAGGAAGCTGGATGCCTTTATCTACGATGCTGCTGTGCTGAATTACATGGCTGGCAAGGACGAGGGCTGCAAGCTGGTGACTATCGGCAGCGGGAAGGTCTTCGCTACCACTGGCTATGGCATTGCTCTCCAGAAAGATTCCAAGTGGAAGAGAGCAATTGACTTGGCCCTGCTGCAGTTCCTGGGAGACGGTGGGTATTTCTTTCCCCGGTCACAGCCCGGGGGCAGTGTCCCTCCCCTTTCTGGGTGAAATGTTTATCCTAGCCCTTCCCTTCTCGCACGTCTTTCCTTGCAAAGCTGGGGAAAGAGCGTTACTCAAGAATCAGGCTACGTCTAGACTCTAGGCTTCTTTTGGAAGAGATCTTCTGAAAAAACGTCTTCCAAAAGAGCATCTCCGCTGCAAAAGTGCATCGAGAAAGCAATCTGCTTTTTTGAAAGAGAGCGTCCAGACTGAATGGAGGCTCTCTCGCATGGAAGCTGTGATTGCTCTGGATGGAATGGCCACCAGGGCACCTGTGATTTTTCCTCTTTCCTCTTATTCCAAAAGAACTCCCTCTTCCCCATCCACACATGCCTTTTTGTGAAAGAGCTATTTTGCAAAAGGGCTTCTTCCTTGTAGAATGAGGATTACCAATGCTGGAAAAACCCCTCTGTTCTTTCAATTTTCTTGTGGAAGAATGCGACTGCAGTGTGGATGTTCCTCAGGTTTTGTCGGAAAAATGTCCAAACTCTGTAGTGGAGACATACCCCCAGAGACAACGGTGGCTCTTCTATCTGTCACCTTTCCTTACGTGGTTGATCATCTCTTTTCCTCCCCTCTCTCTCCTTGGTACAAACACGTGCCTCTTTTATTTAAATATTTATTTGTCTGTTAAAACTGGAAGAGGCTCTGACAGCCCATCAGAACAAGGCACTTACTTTGTGAATTAACCCAGACATCTAGCGCTCCATCCCTATAATCTAGGGGTCAGACCTGCAGCTGATGTAAATGTATCCTAGCTGGGAATTTTACTCCTCTGCCCGCTACATGGAAGTCATCGATGGCACGTAGCTTTGAGTCTCTTGGTCTCCTGATGCTCCTCAACTGGACTCTGTGTAGTCAAGCAGGCAGTGTGCCGTCTGAGCTGTGCATTAGGGGAAATATCAAGAAGGATTCAGAAAGCTGTTCCTCTGTCAGGTTGTGTGCACTTAACATTAAATTGGGCCCCGCCTCTCCTGCCAGAGGTCTGGACATTATTCTGTCTGCAGTTTCTCTTCCCACTAATAGACAATGAAACTCTCCTGCCAGCTTGCCCG